AGGAGACACATCAGAAGCAGTCAAAGACATCCTTCTTCTTGATGTTGCACCACTTTCACTTGGTATTGAAACAGCAGGAGAAATCATGACCGTTTTGATTCCTCGTAACACAACAATTCCATCCAAGAAATCACAAGTTTTCACAACATTCAGTGATAACCAGCCAGCAGTTACAATCAAAGTTTATGAAGGAGAACGTTCAAGAACACGCGATAACAACCTTCTTGGTACATTTGATTTGACAGGAATTCCGCCAGCACCAAGAGGAGTTCCACAAATTGAAGTTACATTTGATGTCAACGCCGATGGTATTATGAATGTTTCAGCACAAGATAAATCAACCGGAAACGTTAAGAAGATCACAATTAAGAATGAGAAAGGACGTCTTTCACAAGCAGATATCGATAAGATGGTTGCAGATGCCGAGAAATTCAAAGCACAAGATGAAGAAGTTCGTAAGAAAGTTGAAGCCAAGAATGCACTTGAAGGATACTGCTTTGGAGTCCGTAACTCATTGTCAAACGAACAATTCGCCAACGCAATCCCACAATCAGATAAGGACACGATCAACAAAGAAATCAACGACACACTTGCATGGATTGATGCACATCAAGATGCCGAAGTTTCAGAATTTGAAAGCAAGCAAAAAGAACTTGAAAGCAAATTAATGCCAATTATGCAACGTGCATACCAAGGTGCTGCCCCAGGAGGATCAGCAGGAGGTCCAGGCGGAATGCCAGGTGGAATTGATCCAAACATGTTCAACCAAGGTGGATCAGGTGGAGCTGCAGGTGGATCACCAGGAGGACACAGTGGACCACGTGTTGAAGAAGTCGACTAAATTCCTCTGTAATTGATTTTTAACTTTATTCAACAACAAAAAAAATTGTAATTTAATAAAAACATGATAATATTTTAATTAAATTAATTTAATATTTTTATTATTATAAAATTATAAAAGTCTAAATGATTGAATATTAATAAAAGTAACAAAATCAATAGGATTGAAAGAAAAGAGCGACATTTTTTATTATAAAAGAAAAAATGCATTATATAATTAAATAATACAAATGAATTAAGAAGATCAGCGGGACTTTAGCTCACCTGGGAGAGCGTACGACTGAAGATCGTAAGGTACGTGGTTCGAGTCCGCGAAGTCCCAAATTATTTTTTTCCTTCTTCTTCTTGATTTTGAATCTTTCAACAAAAATCAAAGCAAATAATATTTTATTTTGTTTTTTAAATATTGAGCTAAAACAAGTGATTGGTTTTTTTAGGTTTCTTGTAGTCCAGAGAAACGAAAAAAGTGATTTTTGAAGAAAAATTCGTATTCTATGCTGAGATATGAATGAAATAAGAATATAAAGAACGGTGCAGGAACGAAAAGGACTCCGATATTTTTTAATGTAAGTGTGTCATCGAATGATAAACCACAGTTGAATACATAACTATAAAATATAAAAGAATGGAAGCAAACAAACTAAAATAATTTTTTTTTTTTTTTCCAACAAAAATAAAAAAAAAGTGAAAACACATCAACCAAATTTGAATATATATATTTTGTTTATATAAAGAATAAAAGGAAAAAGAAAGTGGTTAAAATAATATGTTAAATAATATAATTTTAAGAATGGAGAAGAGACTAATTTATTGAAGCGGCCATACCCGGCTGGATACATCCAGCTCCATTCCGAACCTGGAAATTAAGCAGTCGCGGGCTGCATCAGTACTGGGCTGGGTGACTTCCCGGGAACGTGTAGTGTCGCTTCCTTTTTTTTTTCTTTTATAATATATATATATAATAGAGGAATACAAATATATTTTTGTTAATTTTAATCAGAACTACATTTTAAAAATCATTAAAAAGATAAATAAAAAAGCGGTTATAATAATATGTTAAATAATATAATTTTAAGAATGGAGAAGAGACTAATTTATTGAAGCGGCCATACCCGGCTGGATACATCCAGCTCCATTCCGAACCTGGAAATTAAGCAGTCGCGGGCTGCATCAGTACTGGGCTGGGTGACTTCCCGGGAACGTGTAGTGTCGCTTCCTTTTTTTTTTCTTTTATAATATATATATATATATATATATATATCTTTATATGTTTCACTTATAGTGTTGCTTCTCTAATTTATTTTTTTTCGAAATGATTTTTTTTTTGTTATTTGGTTTTAGGTAAAAAATATCATTAATTATTATATATATTCAATTTATGGAATTATTTATGTGATAATTTTCTAAATTGATTGACTATTTATCGAAGAAAATAGATATGTGTTTTGACTATTTATCGTCATAAAAATATTGAATGAATTTCTCTCAATCATTTTCAATATATTTGAATGATTTTCTCTCAATTTTGATTCTCCCGACCATTTAACATTTGTGAGAATGTATACAATTTTGAATGATACTAAGAAAAATGTAAATTTTAAAAATCATTTTTTTATTTGAAACACAAAAACAAATGTCAGCAGTCGGAATTGATCTTGGTACTACTTATTCATGCGTCGGTGTCTTTCGACACAACAGAGTAGATATCATTGCAAACGATATGGGTAATCGTACAACGCCATCTTACGTTGCCTTCACAGATGAAGAACGTCTTGTCGGTGATGCAGCAAAGAACCAAGCAGCAATGAATCCAACAAACACAGTATTCGATGCGAAGCGTATGATTGGACGTAAGTTCTCAGATCCAATTGTTCAAAAAGATATGCAACACTGGCCATTCAAAGTTGTTCGCGGAGATGCGGACAGGCCACGAATCCAAGTCCAATGGAAAGGCGAGACAAAACAATTCTATCCAGAAGAAATTTCAGCCATGGTTTTAGGCAAAATGAAAGAAGTCGCAGAAACACAATTGACAGAAAAAGTTACAGATGCAGTTGTTACAGTTCCTGCTTATTTCAACGATGGACAACGTCAAGCTACGTTTCCAAAAGAAATTCAAATGCGATCTCCGTCAGTCACCACGTGCACTAAGAACACTTCGTACAGCATGTGAACGTGCTAAGCGAACATTATCAACAGCAACTACAGCTTCAATCATTTGTGATTCGCTTTATGAAGGACATGATTTCATGGATAACATTTCACGCGCAATGTTTGAAAACTTGAATGATGAATTATTCCGTTCAACAATGAATCCAGTTGCACAAGTTTTGAAGGATGCAAATATGTCAAAGAGTGATGTTACAGATATTGTTCTTGTTGGAGGTTCATCCAGAATTCCACGTGTTCAACAACTACTTCAAGATTTCTTCAATGGCAAACAACCATGCCGTGGAGTTGACCCAGATGAAGCTGTTGCATATGGTGCAGCTGTTCAAGCAGCAATCATCAAAGGAGACACATCAGAAGCAGTCAAAGACATCCTTCTTCTTGATGTTGCACCACTTTCACTTGGTATTGAAACAGCAGGAGAAATCATGACCGTTTTGATTCCTCGTAACACAACAATTCCATCCAAGAAATCCACAAGTTTTCACAACATTCAGTGATAACTTGACCAGCAGTTACAATCAAAGTTTATGAAGGAGAACGTTCAAGAACACGCGATAACAACATTCTTCGGTACATTTGATTCGACGGGAATTCCGCCGGCGAGAGGAGTTCCTACAAATTGAAGTGCATTTGATGTCAACGCCGATGGTATTATAGATGTTTCAGCATAAGATAAATCAACCGGAAACGTTAAGAAGATCACAATTAAGAATGAGAAAGGACGTCTTTCACAAGCAGATATCGATAAGATGGTTGCAGATGCCGAAAATTCAAGCACAAGATGAAGAAGTTCATGCAAAAGGATTAAACCAGAATGCGCGAAGGATACTGCTTTTGAGTCCGTAACTCATTGTCAAACGAACAATTCGCCAACGCAATCCCACAATCAGATAAGGACACGATCAACAAAATCAACGACACGCTTGCATGGATTAGATGCACATCAAGATGCCGAAGTTTCAGAATTTGAAAACAGCAAAAGAACTTGAAAGCAAATTAATGCAATTATGCAGCGTGCATGCCAGGTGCTGCCCCGAGGAGGATCAGCAGGAGGGTCCAGGCGGAATGCGGGTGGGATTGATCCAAACTATGTTTCCTTAAAGTGGATCGGGTGGAGCTGCAGGTGGATCACCAGGAGGACACAGTGGACCACGTGTTGGAAGAAGTCGACTAAATTCCTCTGTAATTGATTTTTTAACTTTATTCAACAACAAAAAAATTGTAATTTAATAAAAAACATGATAATATTTTAATTAAATTAATTTAATATTTTTATTATTATAAAATTATAAAAGTCTAAATGATTGAATATTAATAAAAAGTAACAAAATCGGCTAAGTTGAAGAAAAGAGCGACATTTTTTATTATAAAAGAAAAAATGCATTATATAATTAAATAATACAAATGAATTAAGAATCAGCGGGACTTTAGCTCACCTGGGGAGAGCGTACGACTGAAGATCGTAAGGTACGTCGGTTCGAGTCCGCGAAGTCCCAAAATTATTTTTTCCTTCTTCTTCTTGATTTGAATCTTCAACAAAAATCAAAGCAAATAATATTTTATTTTGTTTTTAAATGTTGAGCTAAAACAAGTGATTGGTTTTTTTAGGTTTTCTTGTAGTCCGGAGAAACGAAAAAAGTGATTTTTGAAGAAAAATTCGTATTCTATCTTTCGAGGATATGAATGAAGTAAGAATATAAGGAACGGTGCAGGAACGAAAAGGACTCCGATATTTTTTAATGTAAGTGTGTCATCGAATGATAAACCTGATTGAATACATAACTATAAAATATAAAAGAATGGAAGCAAACAAACTAAAACAATTTTTTTTTTCCAACAAAAATAAAAAAAGTGAAAACTACATCAACCAAATTTGAATATATATATTTTGTTTATATAAAGACAAAAGAAAAGGGAAAAAAAAGAAAGTAGTTATAATAATATGTTAAATAATATAATTTTAGAATGGAGAAGACTAATTTATTGAAGCGGCCATACCCGGCTGAATGCGGCATCCAGCTCCATTCCGAACCTGGAAATTAAGCAGTCGCGGGCTGCATCAGTACTGGGCTGGGTGACTTCGGGAACGTGTAGTGTCGCTTCCTTTTTTTCTTTATATAATATATATATATATATATATATCTTTATATGTTTCACTTATAGTGTTGCTTCTCTAATTTATTTTTTCGAATGATTTTTTTGTTATTTTGGTTTTAGGTAAAAATATCATTAATTATTATATATATTCAATTTATGGAATTATTTATGTGATAATTTTCTAAATTGATTGACTATTTATCGAAGAAAATAGATATATGTTTGACTATTTATCGTCGTAAAAATATTGAATGAATTTCTCTCAATCATTTTCAATATATTTGAATGATTTTCTCTCAATTTTGATTCTCGACCATTTAACATTTTGGCGAATATATACAATTTTGAATGATACTAGAAAAATGTAAATTTTAAAAATCATTTTTATTTGAAACACAAAAACAAATGTCAGCAGTCGGAATTGATCTTGGTACTACTTATTCATGCGTCAGTGTCTTTCGACACAACGGAAGTGAATATCATTGCAAACGATATAGGTAAATCGTACAACGCCATCTTACGTTGCGGCCCCAAGATGAAGAACGTCTTGTCAGTGATGCAGCAAAGAACCAAGCAGCAATGAATCCAGCAAACACGATATTCGATGCAGAAGCGTATGATTGGACGTAAGTTCTCAGATCGGTGTTCAAAAAGATATGCAACACTGGCCATTCCAAAGTTGTTTCGCGGAGATGCGGACAAGGCCACGAATCCAAGTCAATGGAAAGGCGAGACAAAACAATTCTATCGAAGAAATTTCAGCCATGGTTTTGAAGCAAAATGAAAGAGTCGCAGAAACACAATTGACAGAAAAAGTTACAGATGCAGTTGTTACAGTTCCTGCTTATTTCAACGATGGACAACGTCAAGCTACGAAGAGTTGCAGGTGTAATTGCAGGATTGAATGTTCTTCGTATTATTAATGAACCAACAGCAGCAGCAATTGCATTCCGGATTAAATGAAATCAGACCAAAGAATTTCGCCATGTTCTTATTTGCACGATCTCGGAGGTGGTACATTCGATGTTTCACTTCTTGATATTGATGAGTATGTTTGAAGTTAAAGCAACAACAGGAGACACTCACCCTTGGAGGAGAAGACTTTGATAGCAGAATGGTTAACTACTTTGCAGATCGTTTCCAAGAAATTCAAATGCGATCTCCGTCAGTCACCACGTGCACTAAGAACACTTCGTACAGCATGTGAACGTGCTAAGCGAACATTATCAGCAGCAACTACAGCTTCAATCATTTGTGATTAGCTTTATGAAGGACATGATTTCATGGATAACATTTCACGCGCAATGTTTGGCAGATGATGGTGCTTCCGTTCAACAATGAATCCAGTTGCAAGTTTGAAGGATGCCAAATGTCAAAGAAGTGATGTTACAGATATTGTTCTTGTTGGAGGTTCATCCAGAATTCACGTGTTCAACAACTGCTTCAAGATTTCTTCAATGGCAAACAACCGCTATATGAGTTGACCCAGATGAAGCTGTTGCATATGGTGCGGCTGTTCAAGCAGCAATCATCAAGGAGACACATCAGAAGCAGTCAAGACATCCTTCTTCTTGATGTTTTCTCACTTAGTATTAAGGCTCCTTAAGGAGAAATCACATGACCGTTTTGATTCTCGTAACACAACAATTCCATCAAGAAATCACAAATTTTCACAACATTCAATGATAACCAGCCAGCAGTTACAATCAAAGTTTATGAAGAAGACGTTCAAGAACACGCGATAACAGCAGCTAGCGGTACATTTGATTTGTGGAGTCCGCCAACACCAAGAGAGTTCCACAAATTGAAGTTACATTTGATGTCAACGCCGATGGTATTATATGAATGTTTCAGCACAGATAAAATCGACCGGAAACGTTAAGAAGATCACAATTAAGAATGAGAAAGGACGTCTTTCGCAAGCAGATATTGATAAGATGGTTGCAGATGCCGAGAAATTCAAAGCACAAGATGAAGAAGTTCGTAGAAAGTTGAAGCAAGAATGCACTTGAAGAGATGCTGGCACAGGTCCGTAACTCATTGTCAAACGAACAATTCGCCAACGCAATCCCACAATCAGATAAGGACACGATCAACAAAGAAATCAACGACACACTTGCATGGTTGATGCACATCAAGATGCCGAAGTTTCAGAATTTGAAAGCAAGCAAAAGAACTTGAAAGCAAATTAATGCCAATTATGTAACGTGCATACCAAGGTGCTGCCCAGGAGGATCAGCAGGAGGTCCGGGCGGAATGCCGGGTGGGATGATCCAAACATGTTCAGCAAGGTGGATCAGGTGGAGCTGCAGGTGGATCACCAGGAGGACACAGTGGACCACGTGTTGAAGAAGTCGATAAATTCTGTAATTGATTTTTAGCTTTGTTCAACAACAGAAAAAAATTGTAATTTAATAAAAATGATAATATTTTAATTAAATTAATTTAATATTTTTATTATTATAAAATTATAAAAAGTCTAAATGATTGAATATTAATAAAAGTAACAAATCAATGGGATTGAAAGAAAAACTCGACATTTTTATTATAAAAGAAAAAAATGCATTATATAATTAAATAATACAAATGAATTAAGAAGATCGGCGGGACTTTAGCTCACCTGGGAGAGCGTACGACTGAAAATCGTAAGGTACGTGGTTCGAGTCACGAAGTCCCAAATTATTTTTTTACTTCTTCTTCTTGATTTTGAATCTTTCAACAAAAATCAAAACAAATAATATTTTATTTTTGTTTTTAAATATTGAGCTAAAACAAGTGATTGGTTTTTTAGGTTTCTTGTAGTCAGAGAAACGAAAAAGTGATTTTTTGAAGAAAAAATTCGTATTCTATGCTGAGATATGAATGAAATAAGAATATAAAGAACGGTGCAGGAACGAAAGAGGACTCCGATGTTTTTAATGCTGAAAGTGTGTCATCGAATGATAAACCACAGTTGAATACATAACTATAAAATATAAAGAATGGAAGCAAACAAACTAAAATAATTTTTTTTTTTTTTTTTTCCAACAAAAATAAAAAAAAAGTGAAAACACATCAACGAATTTGAATATATATGTTTTGTTTATATAAAGAATAAAAGGAAAAGAAAGTGGTTAAAATAATATGTTAAATAATATAATTTAAGAATGGAGAAAGACTAATTTATTGAAGCGGCCCATACCCGGCTGGATACATCCAGCTCCATTCCGAACCTGGAAATTAAGCAGTCGCGGGCTGCATCAGTACTGGGCTGGGTGACTTCGGGAACGTGTAGTGTCCTTTTATTTTTTTCTTTTGTAATATATATATATAATAGAGGAATACAAATATATTTTTGTTAATTTTAATCAGAACTACATTTTAAAAAATCGATAAAAAGATAAATAAGCGGTTATAATAATATGTTAAATAATATAATTTAAGAATGGAAGAGACTAATTTATTGAAGCGGCCATACCCAGGCGGATATCCAGCTCCATTTCGAACCTGGGGAAATTAAACAGTCGCGGGCTGCATCAGTACTGGGCTGGAGTGACTTCCGGGAACGTGTAGTGTCGCTTCCTTTTTTTTTCTTTTATTATAATATATATATATATATATATATCTTTATATGTTTTACTTATAGTGTTGCTTCTCTAATTTATTTTTTCGAAATGATTTTTTTGTTATTTGGTTTTAGGTAAAAAATATCATTAATTATTATATATATTCAATTTAACCGATTATTTGTGATAATTTTCTAAATTGATTGACTATTTATCAGAAGAAAATAGATATGTGTTTGACTATTTATCGTCATAAAAATATTAATGATAAATTTCTCTCAATCATTTTCAATATATTTGAATGATTTTTCTCTCAATTTTGATTCTCCGACCATTTAACATTTGTGAGAATGTATACAATTTTGAATGATACTAAGAAAAATGTAAATTTTAAAAATCATTTTTATTTGAAACTTACAAAAACAAATGTCAACAGTCGGAATTGATCTTCCAGTTCTTATTCATGCGTGGTGTCTTTCGACACAACAGAGTAGATATCATTGCAAACGTATGGGTAATCGTACAACGCCATCTTACGTTGCCTTCACAGATGAAGAACGTCTTGTCGGTGATGCAGCAAAGAACCAAAGCAGCAATGAATCAGCAAACACAGTATTCGATGCGAAGCGTATGATTGGACGTAAGTTCTCAGATCCAATTGTTCAAAAGATATGCAACACTGGCCATTCAAAGTTGTTCGCGGAGATGCGGACGAACACGAATCCAAGTCAATGGAAAAGGCGAGACAAAACAATTCTATCCAGAAGAAATTTCAGCCATGGTTTAGGCAAAATGAAAGTCGCAGAAGCAATTGACGGAAAAAGTTACAGATGCAGTTGTTACAGTTCCTGCTTATTTCAACGATGGACAACGTCAAGCTACGAAGGATGCTGCAGAATGTAATTGCAGGATTGAATGTTCTTCGTATTATTAATGAACCAACAGCAGCAGCAATTGCATTCGGATTAAATGAGAAATCAGACAAAGAACACCATGTTCTTATTTTCGATCTCGGAGGTGGTACATTCGATGTTTCACTTCGCGATATTGATGGAGGTATGTTTGAAGTTAAAAGCAACAGCAGGAACACTCACCTTGGAGGAGAAGACTTTGATAGCAGAATGGTTAGCAACTACTTTGCAGATCGTTTCCAAAAGAAAATTCCGTCTGATCTCCGTCGTCTACCATTACACTAAGAACACTTCGTACATGTGAACGTGCTAAGCGAACATTATCAACAACATACAGCTTCAATCGATTTGTGATTCGCTTTATGAAGGACATGATTTCATGGATAACATTTAAGCACAATGTTTGAAAAACTTGAATGATGAATTATTCCGTTCAACAATGAATCCAGTTGCTGAAGTTTTGAAGGATGCAAATATGTCAAAGAGTGATGTTACAGATATTGTTCTTGTTGGAGTTCATCCAGAATTCCACGTGTTCAACAACTACTTCAAGATTTCTTCAATAGCAAACAACCATGCCGTGGAGTTGACCCAGATGAAGCTGTTACATATGTTGCAGCTGTTCAAGCAGCAATCATCAAAGGAGACACATCAGAAGCAGTCAAAGACATCCTTCTTCTTGATGTTGCACCACTCACTTGGTATTGAAGTAGCAGGAGAAATCATGACCGTTTTATTCCTCGTAACACAACAATTCCATCCAAGAAATCACAAGTTTCACAACATTCAGTGATAACCAGCCAGCAGTTACAATCAAAGTTTATGAGAACGTTCAGGGCCACGCGATAACAACCTTCTTGGTACATTTTGATTTGACAGAATTCCATGACACCAAGAGGTTCCTGAAATTGAGATTACATTTGATGTCAACGCCGATGGTGTGTGAATGTTTCAGCACAAGATAAATCAACCGGAAACGTTAAGAAGATCACAATTAAGAATGAGAAGGACGTCTTTCGACAGATATCGATAAAGATGGTTGCAGATGCCGAGAAGGTCAAGCACAAGATGAAGAAGTTCGTAAGAAAGTTGAAGCCAAGAATGCACTTGAAGAGATGCGCTGCTTTGGAGTCCGTAACTCATTGTCAAACGAACAATTCCTTAACGCAATCCCTGACAGATAAGGACACGATCAACAAAGAAATCAACGACACACTTGCATGGATTGATGCACATCAGATGCCGAAGTTTCAGAATTTGAAAACGAAGCAAAAAGAACTTGAGAAAGCAAATTAATACCAATTGGCAACGTGCATACCAGGTGCTGCCCCAGGAGGATCAGCAGGAGGTCAGGCGGAATGCCAGGTTGGATGATCCAAATATGTTCAACCAAGGTGGATCAGGTGGAGCTGGAGTGGATCACCAGGAGGATTTACAGTGGACCACGTGTTGAAGAAGTCGACTAGGTCCTCTGTAATTGATTTTTAACTTTATTCAACAACAAAAAAAAATTGTAATTTAATAAAAACATGATAATATTTTAGTCGATTAATTTAATATTTTATTATTATAAAATTATAAAGAGAAGTCTATTAAATGATTGAATATTAATAAAAGTAACAAAATCAATAGGATTGAAAGAAAAAGAGCGACATTTTTATTATAAAAGAAAAAATGCATTATATAATTAAATAATACAAATGAATTAAGAAGATCAGCGGGACTGGCTCACTGGAAGCGTACGACTTTAAAAGAAGATCGTAAGGTACGTGGTTCGAGTCCGCGAGTCCCAAATTATTTTTTCCTTCTTCTTCTTGATTTGGATCTTTCAGCAAAAATCGAAAGCAAATAATATTTTATTTTGTTTTTTAAATATTGAGCTAAAACAAGTGATTGGTTTTTTTAGGTTCTTGTGGTCAGAGAAACGAAAAAGTGATTTTTGAAGAAAAATTCGTGTTCGTATGCTGAAATATGAATGAAATAAAAGAATATAAAGAACGGTGCAGGAACAAAAAAAGGACTCGATATTTTTTAATGTAAGTGTGTCATCGAATGATAAACCACAGTTGAATACATAACTATAAAATATAAAGAATGGAAGCAAACAAACTAAAATAATTTTTTTTTTTTTTTCCAACAAAAATAAAAAAAAGTGAAAACACATCAACCAAATTTGAATATATATATTTTGTTTATATAAAGAATAAAAAGGAAAAGAAAGTGGTTAAAATAATATGTTAAATAATATAATTTTAAGAATGGGAGAAGAGACTAATTTATTAGGCTTAGCCATACCCCGGCTGGAGGATACATCCCAGCTCCATTCAGGCCCTAAATTAAAGCAGTCGCGGGCTGCATCAGTACTGGGCTGGTGACTTCGGGAACGTGTAGTGTCGCTTCCTTTTTTTTTTTCTTTATAATATATATATATAATAGAGGAATACAAATATATTTTTGTTAATTTTAATCAGAACTACATTTTAAAAATCATTAAAAAGATAAATAAAAAAGCAGTTATAATAATATATTAAATAATATAATTTAAGAATGAAGAGACTAATTTATTAGGCAGCCCATACCCGGCTGGATGCTCCAGCTCCATTCCCATTCTGGAAATTAAGCAGTCGCGGGCTGCATCAGTGCTAGATGGTGACTTCCCGGGGCAGTGGTGTCGCTTCCTTTTTTTCTTTTATAATATATATATATATATATATATATCTTTATGTTTTCACTTATAGTGTTGCTTCTCTAATTTATTTTTTTCAAATGATTTTTTGTTATTTGGTTTTTAAGGTAAAAAATATCATTAATTATTATATATATTCTGATTTTATGGAATTATTTGTATGATAATTTCTAAATTGATTGACTATTTATCAGAAGAAAATAGATATGTGTTTTGATATTTATCGTCGTAAAAATATTGAATGAATTTCTCTCAATCATTTTCAATATATTTGAATGATTTTTATATAAATTTGATTCTCCCGACCATTTAACATTTGTGAGAATGTGTTGAATGATACTAAGAAAAGTAACGAAATTTTAAAAATCATTTTTATTTGAAACTACAAAAACAAATGTCAGCGATGGGATGATCTGGTACTACTTATTCATGCGTCGGTGTCTTTCGACACAGCAGAGTGAATATCATTGCAAACGATATGGAGGTAATCGTACAGCATACGCATCTTACGTTGCCTTCACAGATGAAGAACGTCTTGTCGGTGATGCAGCAAAAGAACCAAGCAGCAATGAATCCAACAAACGCGACCATTCGATGCGAAGCGTAACCAGTTGAACGTAAGTTCTCAGATCAATGTTCAAAAGATATGCAACACTGTACATTCAAAGTTGTTCGCGGAGATGCGGACAGGCCACGAATCAAGTCAATGGAAGGCGAGATAACCTAATTCTATCCAGAAGAAATTTCAGCCATGGTTTTAGAGCAAAATGAAAAGTATGTGAAACACAATTATTGAAAAAGTTACAGATGCGGTTATTTACAGTTCCTGCTTATTTCAACGATGGACAACGTCAAGCTACGAAGGATGCAGGTGTAATTGCAGAGTTGAATGTTCTTCGTATTAATGAACCAACAGCAGCAGCAATTGCATTCGGATTAAATGAGAAATCAACAAAGACGCCATGTTCTTATTTTCGATCTCGGAGGTGGTACATTCGATGTTTCACTTCTTGATATTGATGGAGATATGTTTTGAGTTAAAGCAACAGCAGGAGGCCATCACGCTTGGAGGAGAAGGGCTTTGATGGCAGATGGTTTAACTATTTTGCAGATCGTTTTCAAAAGAAATTCGTCGATCTCCGTCAGTCACCACGTGCACTAAGAACATGCATTACAGCATGTCAGACGAAATGCTAAACGAACATTATCGCCGTAGCAACTGGCTTAATCATTTGTGATTTAACTTCCTGAGACTTTATGATTTTAATGGATAACATTTCACAACGCAATGTTTAAAAACTTGAATGGTCGAATTATTCCGTTCAACAATGAATCCAGTTGCAAGAATTTGAAGGATACAAATATGTCAAAGAGTGATGTTGAATATTGTTCTTGTTGGAGGTTCATCTGGAAGTTCCACGTGTTCAACAACTCTTAGATTTCTTCAATGGCAAACAACCATGCCATTAGATTGACCAGATGAAGCTGTTGCATATGGTGCAGCTGTTCGTAGCAATCGTGAGATTTTATCAAAGTGATCAAAGACATCCTTCTTCTTGATGTTGCACACTTTCACTTAGTATTGAAACAGCAGGAGAAATCATGACCGTTTTGATTCATAATGACTTTAACCAATTCCCATCCAAGAAATCACAGAAGTTTCCCAACATTCAGTGATAACCAGCCAGCAATTCTAAATCAAAGTTTATGAAGGAGAACGTTCAAGAACACGCAGATAACAACCTTCTTGGTACATTTGATTTGACAGAATTCCGCCAGCACCATGAAGGAGTTCCACAAATTGGATGCATTTGATGTCCCAGCTTTGCGATGGTATTATGAATGTTTCAGCACAAAGATAAATCAACCGGAAACGTTAAGAAGGAATCATTAAAGAATGAGAAGGTCTTCACAAGCAGATATCGATAAGATCGTTTGCAGATGCCAAATTCAAGGCATAGATGAAGAAGTTCGTAAAGAAGTTGAAGCCAAGAATGCACTTGAAGGATACTGCTTTGAGTCCGTAACTCATTGTCAAACGAACAATTCATAACATAATCCACACAATCAGATAAGGACACGATCAACAAGAAATCAACGACACACTTGCATGGATTGATGCACATCAAGATGCAGTTTCAGAATTTGAAAGCAAGCAAAAAGAACTTGAAAGCAAATTAATGCCAATTATGCAACGTGCATACCAAGGTGCCCAGGAGGATCAACGGAGGTCGGGCGGAATGCCAGGTGGAGATTGATCCAAACATGTTCAACCAAGGTGGGATCAGGTGGAGCTGGGTGGATCTGGGAAGCACAGTGGACCACGTATTGAAGAAGTCGACTAAATTCTCTGTAATTGATTTTTAACTTTATTCAACAACAAAAAAATTGTAATTTAATAAAAACATGATAATATTTTAATTAAATTAATTCATCATTTATTATTATAAAATTATAAAGGAGTAAATGATTGAATATTAATAAAAGTAACAAAATCAATAGGATTGAAAGAAAAGAGCGACATTTTTATTATAAAGAAAAAATGCATTATATAATTAAATAATAAATGGATCAGAAGATCAGCGGGACTTTAGCTCACCTGGGAGGGCGTACGACTGAAGATCGTAAGGGCAGTTCCGAGTCCGCGAAGTCCCAAATTATTTTTTCCTTCTTCTTCTTGATTTTGAATCTTTCAACAAAATCAAAAACATAAATAATATTTTATTTTGTTTTTAAATATTGAGCTAAAACAAAGTGATTGGTTTTTTTGGGTTTCTTGTATCCAGAGGAAACGAAAAAAGTGATTTTGAAGAAAAATTCGTATTCTATGCTGAGATATGAATGAAATAAGAATATAAAGAACGGTGCAGGAACGAAAAGGACTCCGATATTTTTGAAAATGTAAGTGTGTCATCGAATGATAAACCACAGTTGAATACATAACTATACTAAATATCAAAAGAATGGAAGCAAACAAACTAAAATAATTTTTTTTTTTTTTCCAACAAAAATAAAAAAATTGAAAACACATCAACAAATTTGAATATATATATTTTGTTTTTATATAAAGAATAAAAGGAAAAAGAAAGTGGTTAAAATAATATGTTAAATAATATAATTTTAAGAATGGAGGAAAGGACTAATTTATTAGAAGCGGCCATACCGTGGATACGCATCAGCTCCATTCAATTATAAAATTAAGCAGTCATGAGCTGCATCAGTACTGGGCTGGGTGACTTCCAGGAACGTGTAGTCGTCCTTCCTTTTTTTTTTCTTTTATAATATATATATATAATAGAGAATACAAATATATTTTTGTTAATTTTAATCAGAACTACATTTTAAAAATCATTAAAAGATAAATAAAAAAAGCGGTTATAATATGTTAAATAATATAATTTTAAGAATGGAGAAAGAGACTAATTTATTGAAGCGGCCATACCCGGCTGGATACATCGCTCCATTTCGAACCTGGAAATTAAGCAGTCGCGGGCTGCATCAGTACTGGGCTGGGTGACTTCCCGGGGACGTGTAGTGTCGCTTCCTTTTTTTTTTTCTTTTATAATATATATATATATATATATATATCTTTATATGTTTCACTTATAGTGTTGTAGCTATATAATTTATTTTTTTTCAAAATGATTTTTTTTGTTATTTGGTTTAGGTAAAATATCATTAATTATTATATATATTCAATTTATGGAATTATTTATGTGATAATTTTCTAAATTGATTGACTGTTATCGAAGAAAATAGATATGTGTTTTGACTATTTATCGTCATAAAAATATTGAATGAATTTCTCTCAATCATTTTCAATATATTTGAATGATTTTCTCTCAATTTTGATTCTCCCGACCATTTAACATTTGTGAGAATGTATACAATTTTGAATGATGCTAAGAAAAGTATGAGGCTAAAATCATTTTTTATTTGAAACACAAAAACAAATGTCAGCAGTCGGAATTGATCTTGGTACTACTTATTCATGCGTCGGTGTCTTTCGACACAGCTTAGGTAGATATCATTGCAAACGATATGGGTAATCGTACAACGCCGCGTTGCCTTCACGAATGAAAGAACGTCTTGTCGGTGATGCAGCAAAAGAACGAGCAACAATGAATCCAACAACCACGGTATTCGATGCAAGCGTATGATTGGACGTAAGTTTCTCAGATCCAAGTGTTCAAAAGATATGCAACACTGGCCATTCAAAGTTGTTCATGGAGATGGACAATGCAAGATCCAAGTCAATGGAAAGGCGAGACAAAACAATTCTATCCAGAAAATTTAATATTGGTTTTAGGCAAAATGAAAGAAGTCGCAGAAACACAATTGACGAAAAAATTACAGATGCGGTTACGGTTCCTGTATTTCAACGATGGACAACGTCAAGCTGCAGGATGCAGGTGTAATTGCAGGATTGAATGTTCTTCGTATTAGTAATGAACCAACGGCAGCAATTGCATTCGGATCGGCGGGAAATCAGACAAGAAACGCCATGTTCTTATTTTCGATCTCGGAGGTGGTACATTTCGATGTTTCTAATAACGGTATTGATGGAGGTATGTTTGAAGTTAAAGCAACAGCAGAGACACTCACCTTGGAGAAGACTTTGATGGCAGAATGGTTAACTGCTTTGCAGATCGTTTCAAAAAATTCAAATGCGATCTCCGTCGGTCACCACGTGCGCCGTGCTAAGCGAACATTATCAACAGCAACTACAGCTTCAATCATTTGTGATTCGCTTTATGAAGGACATGATTTCATGGATAACATTTCACGCGCAATGTTTGAAAACTTGAATGATGAATTATTCCGTTCAACAATGAATCCAGTTGCACAAGTTTTGAAGGATGCAAATATGTCAAAGAGTGATGTTACAGATATTGTTCTTGTTGGAGGTTCATCCAGAATTCCACGTGTTCAACAACTACTTCAAGATTTCTTCAATGGCAAACAACCATGCCGTGGAGTTGACCCAGATGAAGCTGTTGCATATGGTGCAGCTGTTCAAGCAGCAATCATCAAAGGAGACACATCAGAAGCAGTCAAAGACATCCTTCTTCTTGATGTTGCACCACTTTCACTTGGTATTGAAACAGCAGGAGAAATCATGACCGTTTTGATTCCTCGTAACACAACAATTCCATCCAAGAAATCACAAGTTTTCACAACATTCAGTGATAACCAGCCAGCAGTTACAATCAAAGTTTATGAAGGAGAACGTTCAAGAACACGCGATAACAACCTTCTTGGTACATTTGATTTGACAGGAATTCCGCCAGCACCAAGAGGAGTTCCACAAATTGAAGTTACATTTGATGTCAACGCCGATGGTATTATGAATGTTTCAGCACAAGATAAATCAACCGGAAACGTTAAGAAGATCACAATTAAGAATGAGAAAGGACGTCTTTCACAAGCAGATATCGATAAGATGGTTGCAGATGCCGAGAAATTCAAAGCACAAGATGAAGAAGTTCGTAAGAAAGTTGAAGCCAAGAATGCACTTGAAGGATACTGCTTTGGAGTCCGTAACTCATTGTCAAACGAACAATTCGCCAACGCAATCCCACAATCAGATAAGGACACGATCAACAAAGAAATCAACGACACACTTGCATGGATTGATGCACATCAAGATGCCGAAGTTTCAGAATTTGAAAGCAAGCAAAAAGAACTTGAAAGCAAATTAATGCCAATTATGCAACGTGCATACCAAGGTGCTGCCCCAGGAGGATCAGCAGGAGGTCCAGGCGGAATGCCAGGTGGAATTGATCCAAACATGTTCAACCAAGGTGGATCAGGTGGAGCTGCAGGTGGATCACCAGGAGGACACAGTGGACCACGTGTTGAAGAAGTCGACTAAATTCCTCTGTAATTGATTTTTAACTTTATTCAACAACAAAAAAAATTGTAATTTAATAAAAACATGATAATATTTTAATTAAATTAATTTAATATTTTTATTATTATAAAATTATAAAAGTCTAAATGATTGAATATTAATAAAAGTAACAAAATCAATAGGATTGAAAGAAAAGAGCGACATTTTTTATTATAAAAGAAAAAATGCATTATATAATTAAATAATACAAATGAATTAAGAAGATCAGCGGGACTTTAGCTCACCTGGGAGAGCGTACGACTGAAGATCGTAAGGTACGTGGTTCGAGTCCGCGAAGTCCCAAATTATTTTTTTCCTTCTTCTTCTTGATTTTGAATCTTTCAACAAAAATCAAAGCAAATAATATTTTATTTTGTTTTTTAAATATTGAGCTAAAACAAGTGATTGGTTTTTTTAGGTTTCTTGTAGTCCAGAGAAACGAAAAAAGTGATTTTTGAAGAAAAATTCGTATTCTATGCTGAGATATGAATGAAATAAGAATATAAAGAACGGTGCAGGAACGAAAAGGACTCCGATATTTTTTAATGTAAGTGTGTCATCGAATGATAAACCACAGTTGAATACATAACTATAAAATATAAAAGAATGGAAGCAAACAAACTAAAATAATTTTTTTTTTTTTTTCCAACAAAAATAAAAAAAAAGTGAAAACACATCAACCAAATTTGAATATATATATTTTGTTTATATAAAGAATAAAAGGAAAAAGAAAGTGGTTAAAATAATATGTTAAATAATATAATTTTAAGAATGGAGAAGAGACTAATTTATTGAAGCGGCCATACCCGGCTGGATACATCCAGCTCCATTCCGAACCTGGAAATTAAGCAGTCGCGGGCTGCATCAGTACTGGGCTGGGTGACTTCCCGGGAACGTGTAGTGTCGCTTCCTTTTTTTTTTCTTTTATAATATATATATATAATAGAGGAATACAAATATATTTTTGTTAATTTTAATCAGAACTACATTTTAAAAATCATTAAAAAGATAAATAAAAAAGCGGTTATAATAATATGTTAAATAATATAATTTTAAGAATGGAGAAGAGACTAATTTATTGAAGCGGCCATACCCGGCTGGATACATCCAGCTCCATTCCGAACCTGGAAATTAAGCAGTCGCGGGCTGCATCAGTACTGGGCTGGGTGACTTCCCGGGAACGTGTAGTGTCGCTTCCTTTTTTTTTTCTTTTATAATATATATATATATATATATATATCTTTATATGTTTCACTTATAGTGTTGCTTCTCTAATTTATTTTTTTTCGAAATGATTTTTTTTTTGTTATTTGGTTTTAGGTAAAAAATATCATTAATTATTATATATATTCAATTTATGGAATTATTTATGTGATAATTTTCTAAATTGATTGACTATTTATCGAAGAAAATAGATATGTGTTTTGACTATTTATCGTCATAAAAATATTGAATGAATTTCTCTCAATCATTTTCAATATATTTGAATGATTTTCTCTCAATTTTGATTCTCCCGACCATTTAACATTTGTGAGAATGTATACAATTTTGAATGATACTAAGAAAAATGTAAATTTTAAAAATCATTTTTTTATTTGAAACACAAAAACAAATGTCAGCAGTCGGAATTGATCTTGGTACTACTTATTCATGCGTCGGTGTCTTTCGACACAACAGAGTAGATATCATTGCAAACGATATGGGTAATCGTACAACGCCATCTTACGTTGCCTTCACAGATGAAGAACGTCTTGTCGGTGAT